CTTTACCTCAACAATGATGTCATTTACAGTATCAGCCTAATAATTCCTATCTTGTTGTACTGTTTTGAAGGTTAGAGATAAGATGTGAATAGAACCTAGTAAAATGGTGAACCCTGAGAAGGTCCCCAACTAAGGGACCTTCTAACAATTCTTACCATCACACATCATCAGGTCAATAGTTTCTGCAGACAAAGTCAAGACTCATTCCTTCAGCTGGGAGGATTAAGGAACCTCCCCAAGAAATTTCCTACAAACCCAGCCAACCCCCATTATATTTTGAACATCCTGATATGCCTTGCCTATATAAATTGCTTTAGCTATATAACATGATCACCAAATAATCAGGTTACATTTTGCTGGTGCTTCCTTCTGCTTGCTCCATCTCTGCTGAGGCATCCTGTGAGGGTATCAAGCTTGGCCATTCCCTGACTTTCCCCCAAAAGAAATCCTTTATGAGATCTATGTGCTGAAGGATAGGGAGAGGCCTTGTGCTTCAGGGCCTATTTTCCTCCCCAACAACAAATATTTCTTAAGATTATAGGGTATATGTTGGTCACAGAGTCAGGTTAGGGGTCCTGTGGCTCTTTGGGCTACTGCACAAAGTAGTACAATGAAGATGCTCTTTGTTGCCCCCCTCCCTGTTTCTCTGCAGAATTGTAAGCTCTCTGCAAATAGCAGTCATTCATCTCTTTCTGTATCTACCCAGGAATTAGTTTAGCTTAAGAACGATGAGGATGGGACCACTGGCCTATCGTCCCACTTTCTTAAGAGGCTTTTAGCGGGATAATTCTCACAGAATGTGCCTATAAAAGCATCCTCTGGGCAGTTTCTTCCTGCAACAGGAGTTTGGGTGATTAGAAGAAATGGAAACAAGCACTGGTCTCCCTGCCAGCAGGGCAATTTTGCCTTGAGATCTTTTCTACTTTACCCAGTCTCACAGTGGAGAGACTGCTAAAGTTTAGAAGAAAAGCAAGTGTGCTTGACTTTAAAAGGAGAATATCTGTTTTAGGATTTAGGCCTCGTTATCTCTTCTTTATATAACTTTAGAAGATGTTTTAATATCTGAGACCATCGGTTAACTCAACCATAAAATTGGTTTGGTAATAAACATATGGACTTGTACAGGGTCACAGTGAGGATGGACTGAGATGCTCATCACAGAGCTCAGCCCCTCGTGAGAACCAGATTGGCTCCATGGCAGTGTCTAATGCAGTATGAGAAGGATAAATAGCCAAGATCCCGTGTCATAGAGATTCAACAGAAATTTGTTTTGAAGCATTTTTGTTCGGACTGCAAATGAACAAGGAGAACATGGAGTATGAATACAGGAGATAAAGAAAACTTAAGCCTGATACCTAAGACAAGCACCAGAAGAAAGACTCAGAAAAATGATCCCGGTGAGCAAGAGATCACAGGAAAAATTCAAGTACACAGGGCAGTAAGATCAAAATCAGATTACTTAATAAAAGCTAGCATTTCTTTAAATGAAAAACAATGCACATTGTTTGTCCTTGAAATGTGACATGCACTCCTTTTTTGAGAATGCCAAACCCCTCCACAGCAACAGCCCATGTCTGACAAAGCCCTGCCACTCTTGAGTCCCGGAGGTCACTGTTCCTATACAGTATTGGAAGTTTGATTCCAATATTGACTGAATAGATGCTGCTGAACATAGCAGTCACTTGGAATAGAAAACCCCAGAAGATAAACCTACACAGGAAGAGAGAGAATTTGAATTAAGCAAGGGCCCACCTGTTCAATAATGAAATAATTGCTCAAAGCATGTGCTGTAATCTTTTCTGATGTAATTGTTCATGTGCCCCCTCCTCCAATGGGGCATCAACATTTGCACATAATCTCAGAGCCTCTTTAAGACACTGATTTAGAAGCTAGACAGTCACTTCCCTAATGTCACAAAAATAGATTCAATTTTACATACATCAGGGTGATTTCAGTAGCAATTTCTACATCTCCAGTGTAAGCATTACTTACATTTTTTTCCCCTCAACTCTCATCCCAGTGGTTCCACAGGGCATTTTAAAAGGTACATGATATAATTTAGGGCATTCACAAAATCCCCAGTGTGTTTTTAGTTGCAGCCTGAAGATACCAGATGCATAGAGAGTCCTAAGATATTCAGTGATTCAAACAAATGCAAAATTTCCTAATAATTCAGTATAATAAGTCAACTGAATTTTTTTCCTTTTAAAAAGCAATTTCATTAACATGAGTGCATGCACACACATAAATATGTGTGTGTGTGTGTGTGTCTGTCTGTCTGTCTGTGTGTACATGTGGGTATAAATATACATATAACACATACATACACAGTCATTTGGAAAGATTGTCCACGGCCCTTAAAACATCTAATTAGATTCCACTAGATAGTCTCCCTTTCTGGCTAATGAATCTCTCTCAGGCAGGAGCATTTTCATCTTAAGGATCTAAGTTTTGGTTTATGGTGATAATGGTGGTGATGTTTCTTTTTGAAACTCAGAAATTAGACTTAGCCTGGTTGTTTTCATGTGTGATCAGACAGCATGACGCCAAATACCTACAATGTTAGGGTCACAATGATTGTCATGGAGTTTTGACTATAATCTTTTTGCATTCTGTGTTTTCCCAGAGCACTTTTATAAAAGGAAAAAAAAAAGTGTGCACAAGAGGCTGGCCTATACAGGAAGGGCTTGGCATGCATAGGTTCCTCTTGGCAAGTATTTTTAATCAGATAGACTTGCAAACGAACTTCTCTGCCCTTAGGTCAAAAGCAGGAGAACCAGAGACAACTTAGTGTAGACAGAGACTCAGCAAGCTCAGCCTGGTCCTTTCTTCAAGGACAAGCCATTTTCTTCCTAGCCCCTTCTCTGACGCTCCTGGTCTATGTCAACATCCCTTTCCAAGTCCCTAGGCAATGTATGAATCTCAGTGATCCACCTGGATTAAGAACAGAAAAAGGATTGACTGGCTAGGCAGACCACAGATTTTCTCTGATCTTCAAGAGAAACAAAAGTTAAATATTTGCTCATAAATTTTGACTTTCTCTTTAAAAGCCATTACCCATCCTTAAGAAGTGCTCAAACAGCCTCATCAATAATAGGCCAAGAGATATCATGTGATACAACACAAAAGGGAGTAAACAACATCATTTATGTAGTATTTTTGCCAAAGTGTTTAGTATGGATGTAATCATGATAGAAAAGTCAGACAAATCTGGATATGGACTATTCTATGGGACAACTGTCCAGACTTTGAAAAAAATCTCAGAATCCTGAAAAGAAAAAAATAAAAGTTACTTTTCTATGGTTTGGGGACATTGAGGGAATCGACTGTGGGCTGGTATAACTAAACATCATTTAATCATGCTTACATTTCTTGGGTAAGATAATAATTTTATTGTGGTTGTGTCAAAGGATTGTCCTAGTTCTTAGGAAATGAAAACTGAATTCTCTGCAAGTGGAATGTCATGACATCTGCAACTTAACTTCTTATGCTTCAAAAAATTAGAGTGAGGAGAGAGAGAGAGAGAGAGAGAGAGAACTTGTGCACACAGAAGTGCCAATGTTGCAAAATGTTAACAATTGGTTAACATAGGTAAAGGATATATGAGTATCCATTTTGCTCTTCTCTCAACTTTTTTTGTAGGTTTAACTATATCTCTCTTTCCAAAGACAGCATGTCAACCTGAAAATAGCTATTGCCTCACTCAAAGTTCTGTATTCTTAACCAGGATACCTGTAAGAACCATCAGAATGAGTTTACAAAATCCACAGTGCTCAGTTCCTATTCCATCTCTTCTTCCAAAGGAGATTTTGATTCAGTAGATAAGGGTGCTACATAGATGTGAGCATTTTGAAAACCGTCCCGTGGGTTCTGTACTGCACTTGAGCTTAGAAATCACAGGACTCAGTTACTCTCAGACTCTGGATCCAACAGAATGAGTTGTGTGGCTCTCAGAAGTTGAGATAAACACAATTTTTGGATACCTTAGCTCTAAAATGGGAACAATACTCTATCTCATAGGACTATGGTGGAAATGAAATGAGAGACAGTATCTGCATTGTAGAGGTGGAAAATGTTTATTTCATTTCTTTCTTCCTCTTCTCAAAGACCCACATCATTTCAAATGGATCATAACTAAAGTAGCTCTTACAAAATGTAATTTTTTCCACTTGCAATTTACATGGTGTAGGGATAAAATATGTCATAATTATATCCTCTTTGAGTTCTTACATTCCCCATTTTGGATCAGAGACTGGGGAATCTACCTATTAAATCCAGGAAAGAACTGGCTTACAACATGTTTCAAAGACAGAAACAAAAGCCAGCTCTCCTGATCCTGATTACCAAACCATCTGTATAACTTATCAGTCTTGGAGTTCTCCTTTGGATAAGAGCTAACCATGGAATCTTAACCACTTCTATTAGCTTGGGATCTTTTATTAACTGCATAAGGAATGAGGTAGTCTTGGCCAAATGTCACTTCGCCAAAGCTCGGGAGGCATGACTTCTAATATGTAACCCATTAGCCATGGGACTTTGGAGAGGTTGTTTTCTGAGCCTCAGTTTCTTAAGCACTCAGAATAGAGATAGTAATAATCCATGACTCACCTACCTTACCTGATAAATGTGAAACAGTTTTGAAAATTTTAAGTCATTCAATTTAGTGTGGCATATTCTCTTTCCTTAAGGACATAGTCCTCCTCCTCCTCCTCCTTCTTTTTAACTCTTATTATTTTTAACCTGTCTATTTAAGTCCACAAATAGTTAGGATGACTTGCTCCCATTTCCTTTGGCTTTATGTAAATTCTTAAATACTCCTTTTCACCTCAGGATGGGCTGCCCCAAGGCTATGCCAGAAAGAACCTTCACCCCTGGCCATCCCAGGGAAAGCATCCTGACCCTATGTCTTACAGCACCTGATTACTATGAGGGGTGCACAGTAGAAGTTCAAGGGCCAAGTTGAACCACAGATATCCCTCCCCTTAGTTGGCTCAACTTACTGAATCCATTAATGTCCTGAGAACTAGAGGAGAAGCCTTCATCATTGCGGCTGGTGCTGAGCTTGGTGGTGGGTTTTTCAGCAGAGGCCACAGGCCCCATCTCCCTCTGGGCTCCACTCTGTGTCTCCTTCTGCTTCTTGGCAAGCTTCCTTTGGGACATGTGCAAGGGAAAAATCACAGTTAGATGGTACTAGTTACATTAAAATATTGGGAAGATATATTGCTTTCCTTCCTTATTTCTCATTCTCAACCCCCACAGTTGGTTCAGTCTTCAGAAACCGTCAAAGTGGCCCCTCCAGTTGTCAAGATGGAGTAAAAGGAAGTCCTCCGGAAACTATTAATGGTTTCCTTTTACTAGGTAATATGATTCATGCTGCCTCACCCCCCAAAATGACCATATTCTATACTTGACTTTAAAATGGGAAATCAATGAGAATTTATGATGCTTTCCCCACTCTCCTTTCGGAGGGAAGAAGAAGTCAGACTGATTTTTCTGTTCTCATGCTTCTCAATGGGTTGAAAAATAGAGTCTGGTCCTTCTCAGAGTCCAAATTTAAGTAAGGACCCAGCAAAAAATGGGAGATTGATTTAGGCACTAGTGGTTGGTGGTGAGTGAGCCCAAAGGGAGAAAAGCCAAAGTTGCACTTATACATAGCTTTTCTAAAAGAAACACCAGAGCCTCAGAATCAGATGGGAATTTCTAATAATTCCATTGTAGTGCAGTCATTCTCAAATTTCGGTGTAAACCTGAAGCACCTGGAGAGCAGAATATGAATACTAAGTCTCAAGTTCATGGTAGTAAGACAGGGCCTGGACCAAGTTCCCTCTAATATGTGCCAGCTACATGACTCAGGGAAAGTTACTCAATCTCTTTATATCCCCAGTTCTTCTTCTGTATACTGTGGCAAATAGCAGGACCAATATCATAACATTGTGAGGATTAAATGGGATAGTGCAAACAATACACAGAGCATGGTGCTTGGCACATGGTGGACATTCAACATATGGAAGTTCCTATTTGTTATTATATTATTGTCAGCTGATCCAACCACATTCCAATGTCTCAATTTCTTCTCCAACAGCCCCACTGTGGAATTATATCTGATAATTACATTGAGTGATGAAGACTTTGATTTCTCACCAGAGAATGAAAAGGTTAAGGAATTCTCTTTTTATGGATTTGAAATGTACTTCACTTAAATTTTAACTGAGAGGTCTTAGGTATTAGATATAAAAAATATGAATATGACTAATCCTTCTTGCACACAACAGTTTTTTAAATGTTTCTAAAGACCCAATATGGTCCCTCTGGATTTTCCCGACATATATTCATCTAAATATTGTCATGTTACTGTCACATGAAAAGCTATAAGCTAAACATAAATGCTTATAGCTTTATAAGTATTTGGACAAGACCTTTGTCCATTCTTTACAGTACCTGGCTTCAAATTATCCCTGTCAAATTCAATGCAACATAGGAAATAATTTTTGTAAGTTGAGCCCACCTGATCATGAAATAGGCCTTTTAATAGGCAATGATCTCCCTGCCAGAGAAGGTAGTAAAGGAAAGGATAAACCTAGATGTAGAAATACTTTAGAGGAGTTCATCTAGGACCAACTTCATTTTAAAAGTATCCTCAGAACTTAGGTCTCTTAATGTAGGCATAGACTGTACAGAATGACAGATGGCAAACTCAAATGAGAATAATTGTAGGAGGGTTTATTTGCAAAAGGACTATTGACAAAGGTGAGAAAGGTATGAAGACCCTAAGTTACAATACAGAGACAGGAGAGCTGTTTGCCACTTATGGGTTCAGAAAGACAAGTAGAGAAAGCAGCGACCAGAACCCAAAAGAGGAGAGTTGTGAAGAGGACGTTACCTGGGTGAAAGCCATGGCTTTCTCTTGAGGAGTCAAGCCAGTCTTATATGAGCTCACAGGAAAGAAACCAGAGACAAAAGTGCCCTGACTCTACCCTTCCCTGATGCTCTGACCATGTATAGCAGCTCTCAGCTGAACCCAATTAAAAGCCAGAGGTGGCAGAGGACCTCTCTGATGGGGTCCTTAAAGAACATAATCTAGAAGCAGAAAATAGGAAAGGGAGAAAGTGAATCTGGATCCAGGAGTCCAGACCAAGAGGAGAAAAATGTTCACATCCCTTATTTTGGCCATAATTTGAAGACAAATGCAACCTAGAATGGAAATCTTCACTTATTTATTTTTAAAAATTAGCCTGGGGAAAGAAAGGCACTCAGGAATGGGAGCTCATCTTTTTGGTTATAATGCTTTGGCCACAAGTATACTGTTCTACTAGTGAAACTATTCCAGGTAGACAGAAGCACAACATGAAATGAAACATTGGATCAGCCAGGCCCTTTCTCACCATCTGCAGGCAATCAACAGGCAGGGAGAACACCAACGAAAGAAAAATGAGTAATTCTGCTGCTGATGACATTTCAAAATTTTATTCTTCATTTATTATCAAAAAGGAATGTGTTTAAAAATGTATATATGACCTTCTTAATCATAAATTTGAAAAGATATACAGCAGATTCTTTGCCTCTATCGGAGTTCTGCTCACATTGCCCAGCAGGAAATAAAAGGAAATCCGATAAGAGAATTAACTTTAAAACTACAAATGAGTACGTATCAGAGGCTTTGATATTTCCTTGGGGGCAGAACTCCAAACCAATCTCATTCTATTCAGGGTAAAATAATATGGAGAGGATTGTCTTAGACACAAATCATTGGTTTCCAAAGGAATAATAATAACAAAAAGGTCTTGCTGCTTCTATGAAAAATGGCACTTTATAGAAATGTTTGAGAAGTTCTGAATGCCTGTATTAAAAAATGAAAAATTGAGCCAATCTGAAACATATAGATATTTACAAACTAGAAAGGTAAATTGTAAAAATCAGATATATGACATCAGTATTAGTCAGCTTTGCATTATGATAATGAAATATCAGAGACAATTAACTTATCAAGAGAAAAGGTTTAGTTTAGCTCATGGTTCTGGAGGTTCCAGTCAAAGATTTGCTGGTCCTATTGCTTTGGGCCTTTAGCAAGAAAGGCATAATGGGGGATGTAAATGACAGAGAAAACTGCTCAATTCATGAACCAGGAAACAAAGTGGTTGGATGGGCCAAGGTCTTAAAATCGCCTTTGAGGGCATCCTTCCAATGACCTAAGGATCTCTCTCTAGGGCTCCACCTCTTAAAGGTCCATGGCACGTTCCAATTCTGCCATCCTGGGGACTAAGTCTTTAACATACGGACTTTTGGGGGTCACTCATCAAAATTATAGCAATATCCTCTGTATTTAGGCCACTGATGACACTTAATGCATGCTACGATGAAGATAATCTCGGGCAGGTATTTTGATAGTAGGTAAGCACAGCTACAACTTGGAAATGGACAAGGTTCAAAAGGAAATAAAACATGAAATTACAGTTTGCAGAGCTATCTTTAATCTTTCAGAATTCAAAATTTAAGTATTAAAAATGCTCCCAGTAACACAGGAAAACTGATATTAATTTCCTTTACCAAAGAGTTTATTTTTACCACCACCCATCCCATGGTCCAGGCTTCAATTTAGCCTTACCTTCCACACACAGACTTGCCATCAGGAAACATCAACTATCTCCTCCCATCCCTCTGCCTGCAACACAACACTCAATGTTCTTTTTTCCTTAATGCATTCCCATTCTCCACTGGCTACCTGCTCTTCATCCTTTAAGGCTCAATGTCATTTAAATGTCAGATCTCTAATGTTTCCAGCAGCTCCTCTAACAGAATTGTAATTTTCTCCTCTTGACTGACTCACCCATTGAACAAATATTTATTGAGCACATACAGGTATCAGTATCTATTGGATGCAAGATGGTCTTGACCTTGACACTCACGGAGCCCACAGACTAATGGCAGAAACAGGCATTAAACAGATTAAGTGCAGAAATATAAAAATCACAAAGATGATGAGTGCTAAAAAGAGATGTTTGGTGCTTTCAGAGCTAATACCTGGTTTGAACCCTGGCAGGGAGATATGGGGACGTTTAGATGTCATGTCAGCTAAACACTCATCCACTCTTGTCACAGTGACTCAACTCTCTCACCCAATAAGGCAAGAACCTCTTGGGAGAAAAGCTTTTGACTCCTTGCACCTACTGCTGCTCCTTGTTGAGTGTTTGGTGCATAGCCAGTGCTCAATAAATTTGTTGCACAAATGTGTATTTAAAAGGCTACAATTTGAAGTGTAGGAAAAGATTTCCATCCTGCCCTCAACACAAATTATAATTAATTTAAAAGTAGATATGTGAAAGGAAAAAGAAGGAAAATTCATAAAATCAGTTTGTACCCTGTAATATTTGTACCTAGGAATATTTTTGGCTAACAACTCAGCATTTCCTTCTTGGAATGTTTGCAGAATTAATGAAATATTCACAGAAGTGAGAGATTTCCTACCCTCGTCCCTGAGCCAACAGAATATTCATAGTTCCAGAATGTTAGGGAAAAAATCATAGTCACATGACTCATGGGAGGGTTGTATAATTAATTAATTCAGGGACTCTTCGGAGCCTTCAAGACGCAAGTACTTATGAGTTTTTGAACTTGGAATTTTTTTCTGTATTTGTTCACAGATACTTGACAACTGGGTCACACAATTTCACCAGCAGGGGGTACCAAAAGCTGGTAAAAAGAGACCACTCATAAGCCTATTTATTCCACTGCAGGGACATTTTCCAAGCTGAAGAATGTTTTGAGACATAGCAATTCAAAGTTTGCTGCTTCTGACGGGTGGGGACGATGTGATGTGGCTGCAGCTCTTGGCATCCTTCCTCTAACGGATTGCTCGGAGGTCTCGTCAACCTTTGCTCATTAGCTGAGTGAGGGGCCGGAGGCAGAGGATGTGCCCCTGATAGGACCCAAGTCCCATAATTTATTTTCAGCAGCACTCTTTACAAGAGATGCTGGCAGGTAGAATGGCTCAAAAGGTGCTGAACTCGTGCCACCAGAGGAGGTATGTCTGAAACACCCACGGATATCCCTCATGGAGAGGGAATGCTAAGGAATGTTCTCTTCACACAACTGGATTTGTGTGGCTCCAGGAAGTAGAATTAGGACCAAGGTGGCTTGATGCAAGGAAGACAT